TTTAGGGGGGTTTTGGGTTTAGGGTTTAGGGGTTTAGGGTTTAGGGTTTAGGGTTTAGGGGGGGTTTTGGGTCTAGGGTTTAGGGGCATGATGTGGGATTTCTCGGGGCCCTTCGTGGTGATGTCCTTCTAGTAAAAATCCCAAGACACCCTCTGCCGGCCTCTGTGCGTTGGCGGGGCCTGCTGATGGGAGGCGCATAAGCGGCGCGCGCCGCAGGCCTTCAGGGTTGAGGGTTGAGGGCTTGGACCTGCTGCGAAGATCTAATGTAGAGGCCTTAATAATCAGAATGGGGTGTTGGGGCCCATAATACTATAATTAGAATAAAGAACCCCCAAAATAATTAGTACAGGTACTTATTAAGGCCCCTATCTTATGGCCAACCACGAAGCGAAACCCTCACGAAGTGAAGCGGAGGAGCCGCAGATGAGAGCGACCTGCGGTTCTCCTCATGGCAAGCCTAAACCCTAAACCCTAAACCCTAAACTCTAAAGCCTTAAACCCTAAGTCACCGAACCCAAGCCCGGTACCTGGCCCCACAAAACCCTATTCTACCTATAGGCTCCGTTGTAGTTCCTTGTTTTGGTTTAACCAATTCTATACTAAGGATCCTATAAGGTAACCCCAAAAAGGAACTGCAATGCAGACTGTAGGTACATATCAAGGCCTTTACATTGTGGTCTTGGGGTGCACTTGAAGAGCTGAGGTCATGGCGCTGGCGCCCTGTCTTCTCCTGTGCCCAGAGCTCGGAATCCTCGCCAGAGGGTTTAGGCTGTCGAGGGTTGAGGAATGCCAGAATAGGCGGCTACACCCAGTCTGTCGTTTAGGTGGAAGGCTCTTCGAGCCGCACTTTAGGATCCTTATGTGCTTCTATGTAAGGCCTATACTGGGGTTTCTCATTTTCTGAATCTGCCATCATGCAGGTTCATGCTATGTGAAGGTGCGGCGGGCCTCTGTCATCGGCTGCTTAAAGCACGTCGCAGCTGGGGTGGCAGGCGGCGGAAGCCTCGGGCAAACTGGAAGAGGTGGAACATTCAAGCCAGCTCCCCGAAATCTTCTGGCCCCTTGACTAAAAACCCTAAACACCTGGACCCTTACACTGAAACCCTAAACCGCACACCAGGGTCCACACAGAGGCCGTGCGAAGCTTCGCTTTTCTCCGGTCGTCGCCCATTCCAACCAAGCGATGCTGGCGAGTTCCAAGGGCAGGAGGGTCGAAGAATCTTGCTGACATCTCTTACACGCATCCGGCAGGAAGTTTTATAGACTCCGTCCACGCTACCTCCGCTGTCTGTAGACTCTGCATGCATGGCGGTTTGGGAGTTCCACCCTGATAAAGCCTAAGCTGACTATGTAATGAGATACTTGGAGGCCCCCTAGACAAAGTACACCTTAATGCATCATTATGAACCCGTAAAAGAGACCCCGCGAATACACAGAAACCCGTAAAGGAGCCCCTTTCATTCATAGTCAGAAACCCTCCATGTCGTGTCAGGCGCACCGCCATGCAAACCACTCCGACTGCTTTGCCATCTCACGCTCCATCTCGCGGGAGTGTGCCTCTGATGAAATGAAGAGAGTCCAACTCAAGCCACACGGTTTGGGGGTCCAGGAGCTTAGGGTGGAAAAACTGGGCTTCTTTATAGGATCGCGTACGGGACACTGCAAAGGAATCTTTTCACGGCACTTCTGGATACCGAAAGAGATTCCTAGAGTCGTGATCGGTGCTGAAAAATAATTGCCTTCCTTACTTGAAGGTTCATGGGTAGTTATAAGTGGGGTTATAAGTCCCCTACTATGGGTTATAATTATAGTTACCCTACTTATAGAAGCTCCAAGTAAACCCTAAACCCTAAACCCTTACAGGAACCTTATAACCCTACTTATAACTACCCATGAACCTCCAAGTGCTCGTCTCTCCAAGGTGTTTTATTGCGTGTCAGACAGCGAAGTCTGTGGGAGGCTTTCCATACGGCTTAAGGCGCGAATTGGCGGCCTTGGTAATTTGGGGGTTTCCGAAAATAGGGGACCCGAATATAGTACCCTAAATAGGAGGATCCTTATTATAAGGACCCCAAAACAAGGTACCCCTTATTTTCGGAAACTCCCATTTGGACAAAGTATAGTATAGTGCGTCTAAATAGGGACTATGAGGAGACACAACTGCAGATTAGTCCGACCCCTACATGACCCTAAGAGAGGGGATCTCTTGGCAAAGGTCATCGTGGAGGTTGGGCGATGGGCTCCCCATTTCCCGAGTTGTTCTGGGTTTTACCACTTAGAGCGGCTTAGAGTGATTAGAGTTTCGGGCTTCAGGTACTTCAAGTTGAGGGCTTTAGGGCTCAGGGTAACTAGGGCTTTGGGGCGTAGAGTAACGAAGGCTTCGGATTTAGGGTTTGGGGCACGGGGTTTGGGGTAACTACGATTAAGCGTTTGGGCTTCGGGTATGTGGGGTTGTTGGGTTCGTTGTCTTGCGCGCATGCTCGGCGTCTGTCGACCGTCACCCACGCACCGAGAATGTTTCCAAAATAGCCCATTTCACGGTTCCTTGCAACCCTTTCCCGCTTCACCTGTGATGACATCTCCTGAACACTTCTCACATCTACGATGGGTTTTGCAATTTCCGGATGCATTGCCAAGTTCGAGTCTGTCACATTTCCTTGCAACTTGCGAACTTGCCAACACCCCGGGTTCCAGCGCCTCATTCTGCAGCAGCGCGTTGGTGGAATGCTCCTTAGCACATACCATGTGTCAACCAAGAAGTCATGGGCTTAGGGTTTAGAGCTTTTGGGCTTCGGGGGTCGGATTCTTAAGGCTGAAGGTCACAGGTCAACCGGAAGAGCACGCTGATGTTGCGGGCGTTGAAAACACCCCATGGTAGTTGGACAATAGAAGGGACCCCTAGAAGGGACCCCTAATCCAAATACCCTATATAACCCTTGTATACCCCTTCTATACTCTCAAGAAGCCCCTATGTAACCCCAAGGGTCCCTTTAAGGGTCCCTCCTTCAGTCCATTGAGATACATAACAAAGAAACTCAGCCTAACTATAAGGTTGGTGGCGCGTTGGCGCTCCTACACTTTTAGGACTTGAAGAGCACGGCAACACGGGCAAACGCTGTATAGGTTTAGGGTTTAGGGTTTTCGGTTTAGGGTTTAGGGTTTAGGGTTATAGTATGCTTGTAGGATTCAAGAGGTGCTTTGGGAGTAGTTTGGGCTTGGAGGCAGCCGGCATGAGGACTGGTTGCAATATTTCAGCGGCAAAGTCTGCCACGTCCCTCAGCCGAAGACAGCTGTAGTGACATGCTGGTTTCTGGCAGGCTGTCTGACACAATGTTCCAGATTGAACGTTACTGGGACAAACAAAAATGCTGGGAACCCAAGAAGGAGTAGCATGACTGTCATCATGCCCCAACCCCCCCCCCACCCCCCACTAAAACCCGTCCAAGACTGAAGAATATGAAAAAAGTCCGAAGACCCTTAAACAACTGAAAGCTCGACAATACCGAATCCAAGAGGTGAAAACTACAGCAAGCCATCAAAGCCTGAAGACTCCGAAAAAACACAATATCGGAAAGGCCTACAAAAAATTCCTCGAACATCCGAAGACTTCGAAATAACAGAAACCTCGTAATTGCCGAGCCCAGAAACTAAAAAAGTGGAGGAATATGTAGGGGCATGTACGCGCCGCGCTCCAACTACAAGGACATCATTGCTGCAGCTATTCACACCCCTATGTTACTAAGCCTGCTAGTGCTTTTTGCCTGCCAGGAACCAGGGCCTAGAAAGCCGAGGGTTTAGTGTGTATAGGTCTGTACCCTAAACCCGAAACCCCACCGAGCCCTAAACCCCAAACCCTAAACCCTAAAACCTAAACCCTAAACCCCCCTAAACCCGAAACCCCACCGAGCCCCAAACCCTAAACCCTAAACCCTAAACCCTAAACCCTAAACCCTAAACCCTAAACTCTGAGGGCTCAGGTCTGGACGAGGCTGACCAATCGACCTCGCGGTGCCAGCGATAAGAACGAGCCGGGGCAAAAGCGCATAATTTCTGGGATGCGGGCTTCTGGGGTTGCAAAATTTTGGGGTTTGAGCATTGGGGGTTTCAAATTTGGGGGTTTTCAAACTTTGGGGTTTGAGATTTGGGGGTTTCAAATTTTGGGGTTTAATATTTTGGGGGGTTTCGAATTTGGGGTTTAAGATTTGGGGGTTCGAATTTTGGGGCTTAAGATTTGGGGGTTTCAAATTTAGGGTTTAAGATTTGGGGCTTTCAAATTTTGGGGTTTAAGATTATGCGGTTTCAGATTATGGGGTTTCAGATTATGGGGTTCAAGAGGTTGTAGAGCTTGAGTGTAAGGTTTAGGGCTGGACTGCAGATTCCTGGTGAATAAGGCCCTTACACACTTGTAGAAGGAGTCCCCAGACAGTGAAACAGTGCCTCGTGGCCTGGCAATCTTAAGCCCTACCAGAATCACATAGTGACTATATGACGTTATATGACATACTGAATCCACACGTTTGCGGAAGCACAAACTAATTACATGTAATTATAGGGATCCAAAAAAGTTGCAGGCACTGACAAAGGGGTCTCGTCACTCAAAGGTCTATGTTTCCTGGCGTTCCTCCATGCCAGCGGACTTAATACAGGGGAATTAATAATTCGAACAGAGTTCTGGGGCCTATTATAACACAACTATAATAAGGCACCCCCCCCCCACAATAGTATAGGTAATTATTAAGGCTCCTACAGCAACTCAAGAGTCCAAGCCGCTCGAGAGACTGCGTTCGAGCTGGTCCGCGCGATGTGCGGCGGTCTGGCAGGCGCACCCTAAACCCTAAACCCTAAACCCTAAACCCTAAACCCTAAACCCTAAACCCTAAACCCTAAACCCTAAACCCTATTTTTGCTTAAGGGCCTTTTGGCGTCTGCACGGGGCGTCTTCCAACCCTTGCGGGCAGGCTTGATGGGCCATGTTGGCCAAACATCAGAAAACACGAGCACTTCGAAGCACACTTAAGGTTTAGGGTTTAGGGCTTAGGGTTTAGGGTTTAGGGTTTAGGGTTTAGGGTTTAGGGTTTAGGGTTTAGGGTTTAGGGTTTAGGGTTTATGGCCAAACATCAGAAAACACGAGCACTTTTAGGGTTTCGGGCTAGCGAAAAAGGATCGAGAAAGACTGCGTTCCCTTCGGAAGCGCCTGTGGTCCTGTGATATGAAGGTGTAAAACGCAAGCTCAATTTATTGGGTCTTG